ACCCGGGTTTTTGATGCAATCGCGCTTTTTTTCCTGCTTTATACAGTAGCATAATTCCTAGCAGTAAGCAGTAGCAGTAACAGTGTTTGTTGCTTCACAATTTGATTATGTGTATTTTCAATATTTTGAAAATATTTTTGCTTGTCACTTATTCCATATTCGGAGCATACAGCCACCGCTGAGTCGGTGCTATTGCACTGCGGGACGTCGCGAAATTTCAGCTTTCTAGCATGTCCGATTACTGTAAGGGAAGCTGCCGACAATTTTGCAAATGGACGTTCCACGTGACAAAATGCTAGGCATGCTTTTACGTATTGTGTTTTCAAGTAAGCCTGCATTATGTGAATGCAGTCCCACATAAAAGCACAGCACGTAAAAGTACAGCTTTCTACTCGGGCTGGCTGCCATGTTGACGTGGTGCTGCAGTATCTCCATTTGACATTTCACGTGCCTGAATGAGAGACGAAGGCACTTGCGAAAACTCATTTTATGTTTGCGCGCCCGCACTTGGACAACAAATGTCCTTGCATAATTACAAGTTTTCTGCACAGCTTAGTTCCTACATGGTTTCTCCGTCAAAAAATTTTTGAATTGTCTATAAGAAAGAGCTAGGGGATCGTGCATGTTCACTTTGCCTTCGGGGATTTCTCGGTAGCAATGGATTACGCTGTACGAATACATACACATAAAAATATATACATGCGTGCACAGATAACGGCTTATCAGTATACGATGTTTCATAAAAATGTGAAAGGCGCACACACTTAAAAAGTTGAGACTGAACTGAGTCAATGAATCAAATAGTCCACATTTTGAACGAAACAGAACCTGAAATAGATCGAAAAACTGTGTAGACCAACCTTACGGTATATTCGGTTCGCGATTCACTGCATAAGCCATCAGAGAACCAGCTAACTACCGTCTTCAAGCTGTCATCATCAAAATATGGGGTTCTGATTTCCAGTTTTCCCAGACCATTATCTGTTCGTGTATCTCTAAAATCACTTTCTGCTTCCGCATCTCCAGACTGCTGTTTGGAGCCTTCCTGAATCGTCGGCACTGTCGCCGTAACTGGGCTCGTAATACCACCAGAAGTGGTAGTAGTGTTAATGGAAGTTTCGCTTTCACTGCTTTCACCTGTCCTTACATATATTATTCCTTTTTCTCCGTGTAGCTCGCCATCAGATGAGTCCACAATTGCATGAATCTGGAAAATGGCCGCTAGAGTAGAATAAAGTGTGCAAAAGCTACGTTCCCATATTTTCTCAGCTAGGAAACTAAGCGTAGAAAGTGGTACAAAATGTCTGGTTAAATGTTTTAGCGTGCACATTGAACCTCACGGGAGATTCCCTGATGTGTGCTTGTGAGGCAGAGCTCTACCAGCTCCCTAATTTCATGTACATAAAGATGTGCTATCGCAGAAGTAGAGGGAGTAGTATGTTGGAGGAAGTGAGGGAAGGGGGTCCGGCAAGGTCATGTCCGATATTCGATAGGGTGATGTTTTAGTATTTATTGTCTATTTGATATTAAAGTTTTTTTAATATAAGTTATATTTAAAAATCCGCTAAGCTCAACTGAGATCTTGATGAAGTTATATTTCTGGCTTATAAATTAAGATAATTCCAACAATGTGTAAGTGAAGTTGCCTGGTGTGCTGAAATTCACTTCCGGCTTGCACAGCCATTGATGGATCCA